ACCACAATTTCATTTATTTTCATCAATCTTAAATTTCTTATTTATATTATCTCAAACAATGTCTAGTAGAATTTCATTTATTTCATCTATCTTACCTTTCATATTTGTATTCTCTTGAATATTATCTAGTATAATTTCATTTATCTATTTGTATTTTCTCGAATAATATCTACTACAATTTCATTCATTTTCATCAATCTTACATTTCGTATTTATATTCTCTCGAATATTATCTAGATAAAAACTTGTTCTAGTTATTGTTGTGGGAAGTGTTCCATCTTAAATAGAAGGAATAATAATTACAATAAAAACAACATCACAAACAACAACATCAACAAAATCATAAACAATAACAACATAAACAACATCATAAACAATATCATTGTATTTTGTAATATTTCATTATCTTATTGTTAAATTTAATTTGGATTTTAATTTAATAACAATAAAATTTCATAATGTCATTCCTGATGATGTGTTCAGTCCGAACACGAAAGCTCGAATCCCTATCTTTTATTTCTGATTGAAATAAGATTTTCTAATGATTTTCACAGCAGTTCTCTCTTTCTTTTTTTATCTTTTACCTACTGCTCTCTCTCCTTAATTTACATTTTTGTTTTTACGCATAAACGAATAATAAGGATACTATGAAAATTTTCTCTCATGTCGGACTCTGTAAAGCTTTTTTCGCTGATCATTTTGGGAGAAAAAGTTTTTTGATTTTCATTGAGTAATGACGATGTTATAGTCAAAATACTAAACACAGTAATACATACTATAGCTAATTACAACTGAACATGCTCTGAAAATCACACTAAAACCTCACTAAATTCGTTGCTTTCCAAATAGTAATTGTAGAGTTTTGTTCAGTTTTTTATGCTCTTTCATATGAAAAAGTTGGAATTTAAAAAAAGAAAAAATCAAAATTTGATTAATTAATTGCTAATTATTTATTATTTATTAATTAACCAATTAATTAACTGATTAACGAATTAACTAATTAACTAACTGCACTATAACTGTAAATGCTTGTTACCAAAATGTAGCCCATTAAATTCTGCGTCGAATGATATATAGAACATCTTTCAGATGTTGTGAAATAACATAAAAAATTAGCCAAATACTAAAAGTGTGCTAAACTTTTTTCTCTACTTTCTATTACAGTGTTTAGTATTTTGACTATAACATCGTCATTACTCAATGAAAATTAAAAACCTTTTTTACCAAAATGATCAGTGAAAAAAACTCTACAAAGTCCGATATGAAAGAAAATTTTCAGAATATCCTTATTATTCGTTTATGCGTAAAAACAAAAATGTACATGCTTTTTTGAGCGTTAGAGCACCTCTCTAAACATATCCTTTATAGATGGTCTCAATGTTGTTCTATTTAATAAAAGATTTATTTTTTTAAATAATTTAAAAAAAAAACAGCTTTTTCTATTACATCAAAACAACGATACGAATGTCTATGCCTTTTCTTTTTCTACCTTGCCGTATCTACCTCAGTTACTTCACAATATACTTGATTATGTCGGATGAATTCATTTTATAGAAAAATTTCACTTTTACTTTTGTAAATATTTCTAAAAAAATAAAAAATTCGTTTTTTTCTTTTATAACTAAATTATAAAATCAATACAAATGAGTGTAATCATATAGAAAAGACAATAGTCTGTCTACAAATATTTCTTATTTATGATTAATAGTTAAAATATTCTGTTACTAAGTAAACACATAGTCATTCATTTTTGCTTGTTCTATTTGATTTGTCATTGACAATTGTGTACTATATTGTTTTTATTTGCTCAGAATTTTACATTATATAGAACGAATAATAAAACCAATCGAAAAGAACATAACACATTGACAAGTACGCATATTTGTTCTTCATTTTTTAGTATTTAAAACAATGTAAGAAGCATGTGATGTAAGGTGTGTAATGTAATTATTTGAATATTCTATGTTACATTAGTCTTGCAAAAAAAAAAGTTTCTACAAAGAAGAAAGAAATATTTTCTTGACTATGATTAGATTGAAGTCTCTGCTATGTTCTAGAAGACAAAAAATTTTTGAAATTTGACGAGATTTTCAATAAAATCTTGATTTTTTTTTTTGGGATAAAAAATTAGGTCAGAATTAGTTCTAAAAGATACAAATTTGTAAAAAAAAAACCTCAATTCATTACAAAATGATGATGCGCATATATACATGATTAATCATGTGCTAAAAAATTTAGTTTTAAGTACATTTTCTAGTTCAAGACGAAAAAGTGTTTTTGTTTTTTTCGTTCTGTTATATGTGATAAGGAATGGACTATAATTTTGTTTTTTCTTTTCTTACTGATAAGATAGGTTTTTGAGCAAATTCCATTGATTTAAAAACATTTTTGATCTAATATTCTCTCTCTATAAAAGAAAAAATTGTTATTAACGTAAGGTTTATATAAAAAAAAACTAATTCTCATTAGTAATTAATATTTCTTTTAAAGACTTTTTCTGAGAATTAAGTTTGTTTAATAGCAGATATTCAGATTTTCTAATATGCTAAGAGCTTTAAATATCTACATTTGAAAAAACAGAGTATGATTCGATTTAGTTTAGGTTCGTCTATCGAATGATGTAGTTTGAATTGAGTTTTCATTTCATCAAGCTTGAACACTTATTGTACTTCAAATATTTTGAATTTTTAAAAGTTTTATCAATATTTTTTTTTGTTTATAGAATATAGCAAAGATTTTAATCTATAATAAAAGTCAAGAAAATATTCTTTCTTTATTGTAAAATTTTCTTGACAATATATATTATAGTGTTCAAATAATTGTATATTTTCATATTTTATGTATGAAAATTTACAATAATTTTTTGAAAAATTAATTTTTAAGCTTAAATAAATACTATAGAATTAGATTATTTTTTTTTTTGTCAAACATTAATTATTAAAGATTTTTTGTAATTAACAATTATCTATTCAATTATAAGAACTATAAATCATATTTTTGTAATCATATAGAAAAAAAAACGTTTTTTTGATCTCTCATATATTTTAAAAATTGTTCTTTAAAAACACTTTGATTAATCAATTTTTATTACGTCTACATTTTCGTTTATGTCAATATTCACATAATGTTTTTTTTTAATCTCAATTTCATAGTATTATGAAAAATATTCCTTAGAGAACGAACAATATCTTAGTATTTAAAAGTATTCGTATTATTCCAATGTATAATTGGCAAATATTTGAAGACATTATTTAGAATACATCTATGTAAAATGATTTGTTTTTATCATGAGTAAAAAAGAAAAATCTTTCGATCAAGGCGTTTTTAATTTGATAAAAACGGCAGATGTCAGGATTATTCAACAGTGTCATATGTATTGTATATATAATAATATCCAATCACATATTTCAAACGAAAAGAAAAAAAGCATTCATTGATTTTCTTTTCGACAGTATTCGTCATCATGATTATCTCAGCTGATGGTAAAAGAGTACATACACATGCATAAAAATTTATTTATTTATTTATTTTTTTGTTTTTAAGATAGAATGCTGCTTCAATAGGACAATATCTTTTTTTTTGTTAATGTATATTTTAATAAGATTATAATAAATAGGATAAATATGGGTTTTTTATTTTCAAAATTATGGGCTTTATTTGGTAAGTTAAGTAAAATTTAGAATTAAATTTACATTTTTTGTTGTTGATTAATATAGGTAATGAAGAACATAAAATAATAATTGTTGGTCTTGATAATGCTGGTAAAGATCAAAAGAATTCTATAAATTAATTTTTATTTATATTTAAATAGGTAAAACAACAATATTATATCAATTTTTAATGAACGAAGTTGTTCATACATCACCAACAATTGGTTCAAATGTTGAAGAAGTTATTTTTAAAAATATACGTTTTTTAATGATGGATATTGGTGGACAAGAATCATTACGTTCATCATGGCAAACATATTTTTCACATACAGAATATGTTATATTAGTTGTTGATAGTACTGATCGTGAACGTTTACCATTAACAAAACAAGAATTATTTCGTATGTTACAAAGTGAAGAATTACGTACAGCATCTGTATTAATATTTGCTAATAAACAAGATATTAAAGATGCTATGTCATCAGCTGAAATATCAAAACAATTATGTTTAACATCAATTAAAGATCAAGCATGGCATATACAAGCATGTTGTGCATTAACAGGCGAAGGTTTATATCAAGGTTTAGATTGGATTGCATCGAGAGTTAAACGATGAGAAAAAAAAAAAAAATTTGTTTTTTTTTTGCTTGTTTATTTATGTTTTTTTCTTTTTCTTTTTTTTTTATATAAATATATATATTTCTTTGCAATGGCAAAAAATATCTATGGGAATTTAATCTCAAAAGTTACAAATAATTTCTTTTGCATTTTATATATGTAGTATTAATGAGATAATTTAAAAAGAACAAAATTTCTATTTTTAGATAGAAACATTTTTTTTTTTTGTTTTTATTAGATGATTTTAAAATGACTGGAAGGATAACATTATCTGTTCATAATCAGAATACTGATGATATTAAATATGATTTATAACGTATTAATAATAATACAGATTGTATTAATATTAAACATAATACAATAATAAATCATAATAATTCATATGTATTACTAAAATTGAAGATTTTGATTCTTTTGAAAAATTCTTTTGATAATTTTAATGAAAATATATATGTACAAGATAATCAAATACTTATTCTACTTGATATTCATAAATTTAATCAAGATTATCATTTATTACACCAACAAGTTATACATGTACTCTTTAGAACAAAGATAAATAAACATAAATATTGACATATATTAAATTTCGAGTGAAAAGTAAACTTCTACAAATAATCTTATACTCACATCTAATCTCTTATATATATATATATATTTTTTTTTTGAAAAATTTTCTAATATTTATGTTAATAAATAAGAAAATAATTTCTTTTTTTTTTTAGATTTAAAATGGAAAATTCAATAAATTCACCTCGTGTATCAACAACTTCAATACCACTTGTTATAACAATTGATGGTCATAATTGGTCTTATTGGGCATTTGTTTGGCTTGGTCTTGGTTCATTATTACCATTTAATTTTTTTATAACAGCTGATCCATATTTTCGTTATAAATTACATGATTCAAAAATTGAAAATTCATCAGCATCACGTCTTGAATTATCATATGAAAATACAGTTACACTTTGTGCATCAATACCAAATTTAATTGCAACTATTTTAGTTACATTTATATTTGTACCATATATACATAAATATCGTATATATACATCATTAATTGGTATAACAATATGTTTATTAATATGTTTTGTATTTATATTTATTAATGTTAGTCAATGGCGTGAAATATTCTTTATTATAACAATGATACTTGTTATGATTCAAGGTGTATTATGTGCTATTTTACTTAATTGTTTCTTTTCATTAGCATCAACATTACCTAGTCGATATATACAAGGTAAAAAAAGAAATATATATAAATTTAATTTTTTTGAATATAGTTTTAATATGTTAATTGATATAAAAATAGAAATTTCTTGTTTTTCTTTTTTTCTGTAATCTTATTTTAGACAATATAATTGTATATTAGAAATGATAATATATGAAAAGAGAGTTTTTATTTTCTTTTTGATTTTGTTTATGTAAGTATTTAGATTTTATTAAGCTATGCTTTGTGTATTCTATTGATAAGATTATATTGCTTTATGATTTATCAGATAAAAATAGTAAAATAATCTTTTAATAATGTAAGTTTACACTTTATCTATGTTGATTATTCTATATACATGTGTAAATTACTATTCAGTATATTGAATTTCATATTACAAAAAAAAAAAAAGAAGAAAGATATTAAGGAAAATCGCTCAATTTTTAGTTGAAATATGCTGCTTTCATATTCGCTAAAATAATTGTAATTTACAAAAAAAAAACAAAACATGAATAATTAAGCTTGATATATACATCTGGAATTCTATTAGTAAGAGTTCGAAGGGAATATTCCCAACTGTCATATCAATTTTGAGTCGAATGTAGGCTCTGATGATCTATGAATACTCTGAAAAAAGTTCGTGCTATTAGCTTATTACTGTCGAGATATTGCATTTTTATTGTATGTTTAAGCAAAAAAAAGACGTGTCCCCCCTTAAGAAAACTGAGTTTCGAATTTCAACTTGAAATTTTGCAGAGATAGACCTCAATAAGAATAGTTTATTGTGAAAGTTTCAGATCTTTTGATTACTCCTAGTCTGAAATAAGAACGTTCGGAATCTGCTGGTATATCAGCGATTTTACCATAGCTGTATCTTAAAATAGAAACAACGAAAAGATCTGAAACTTTCAAAAATAAACTATTCTTATTGAGGTCTATCTCTATGGAAAATTTCAAGTTGAAATTCGAAACTCAGGTTTCCTAAGGGGGGGGGACACGTCTTTTTTCTGCTTAACCCTTTACCCCCCAGTGGGTCATATATGACCCATTTGTAGAACGATCACAGAAAATAAAGGAAGCATGAGGCTGAAAACTCTCAAGACATTATTTGTAGAGAACTTCACAATCTATCGATTGGTAAAAAAAATATTTTGTTTCGTTGCTCTACCTTCGAGATATATGACTTACAAAATCAAAAATTTTGAAAAGAATGCAAAAATTTGAAATTTTTTAAACAAAATGTTTTTCACTTACAGTCGATAGAGATCTTTTGAAATTTCTGTGTGATATTAATCGATGAAGAAGTCCACTGTTGAATTAGATATGTTTCGAAAGCTTCATGATAACTCCGCGAATTATACATACTAAGGAATATAATTGACCATGTAGTCAATGTTAGACAGATAGAGGGTAATCAAGAACAAAGTTAATATATGCATTATAGACCTCAACTCATGAGAAGTCGAAATAGTATTTATGATGAATTAAATTCCTCCAGATGTTACAAAATGGCTCAGAGTAAAATAGGCTTAAGTTTGACAATAGGTGTAAAAAAAAGCATGCATTCTTTTATGTTAATTTTTATCGGTTCACTCGTTGCGTTTTTCCTATCACTTCAACAGTACGAGATAGATGCTGCTTCTGTCGAGTCAATAATTGGTCAAAGAAAACAAAAAAAAAGTCTTATGATGTTGTTCAATTCTCATTTTCCACCACATGATTTTTATATCAATCAAACCGTCCTACTCCAGAACCAGGACATTCGGTGGATTAGGCCACACCATTGGCATATTCGACAGGCTAATACTCTATTTATAAAGTTATTTTATCAGTAGCTCTTCTGGAACCGCTATGGGGAGTAAAGGATTAAACATACAATAAAAATGCAATATTTCGATAATAATAAGCTAGCAACACGAAATTTTTTCATAGATCATTAGGACCTACATGATGTTCATACGCTCATCTCAATAGTGATGTGACAGTTGGGAATGATCCCTCGTCAGTATAATCTCATTAAACACAAAATCAGATCAAATATTAATTCACAAAGAAAATGCAGTTAATAATCTATAAGTACAAGTGTATGAATGGATAATTAAAAATGTTCAAGTTTTTTTTTATCAACAAGTTATACAAAATATTCTTGCAAAAATCAACTGAATATGCTATAATTGATTAAAGATAATTATAATTTATATTAATATTTTGTTTTTTTTTCTCGCTATAGTCGAATATCCTCTGATTGTTTTAAACATCATATAAAATTTAAGAAAATCAATTAGTCTACATAAATTGTTATCTTCCTAAATGTAATAAACAAAAAATAAATTATAGTTTTACTGAATAAATAAACAAAAACAAAAACTGTTAACATAATTTCAATGAATTCTTCTAATTATAGGACGATTATTTTTCAGAAATACAATTAGAAAAATTAAATTTACATATAAATTTATCTTAGATTATGTTTGAATACAAAAAAAAATTTGTTTTTTTTTTAGGATTTGTTGCTGGTCAAGCACTTGGTGGTGTATTTGTTGTATTATGTTCAATAGCATCAATATTATTTTCAAATGATATATCTATATCAGCAGCTATTTATTTTCTTCTTGCTATATTTGTTCTTATATCAAATTTATTAACATTTATTTATATTGAAAAATCTCATTTATTACAAATTTATTCATCATCAATACAAGAAATAAATAATGAATATGAACCATTAATTCAATCAATATCATCTGATGATAATCCTATTAATTCAATGAATATAACATCATTAGCATTATTTCAACGTTTATATGTTGCATATAAACATACAAAATGGAATTTTTATGGTATATTATTAACATTTATTTGTACATTATCACTTTTTCCAGCATATATGTCAAAAATACAACCATCATATCCATCAATAAATTATCCACATACAATATGGACTAATCGTTTATATACTCAAGTATTAACATTTTTATTATTTAATGTTGGTGATACATTTGGTCGTATGATATCATCAAAAATTCAAATACCATCATTATTAAAACCACGTCTTCTTTTTTTTCTATGTTTATTAAGATTTTCATTTATTCCTTTATTTGGTTTATGTCATTTTCCAAATACAAATGGTTTTCCATATATATTTAAAAATGATTTTATTTATGCTTTTATTGTCTTATTATTTGCTATGTCACATGGATATTTTAATTCACTTAATATGATGTATGCACCAAGACGTGTTCATGCTCAATTAAGTAGTACTGTTGGAGCACTTATGCTTATGGTATGTTTGATATTATAGATATATATATATATCAATTACAATAGTTATGAGATATATAAAATATAGAAAAAAAAGAAGGAATTTTATATATATATCAAATATTCAATTATTAGTTGAATCGATATATTAAAATTTCTGACTATAGATTCTCTTTTTGGAACTAAAATGTAGAATCTATATATATGGGAGTGACCAGTCAGCATGGTACCCCGTTTTGATACAGTCCTATTATAAGGATGAAACATACTGTTGTTCGGGTCATTTAAGAGAGGATCCTAGATAACCCTGAATTGGCCCGAACAACACGATGTTTTAACCTTACAATAGTAGAGAAAAGCAACTAACTCATACACTAAGCTAGTAGCTTTTCCCTACTATTGTAAGGATAAAACATCGTGTTGTTCGGGCCAATCCAAGGTAATCTAGGATCCTCTGTTATATGACTCGAACAACAGTATGTTTTATCCTTATAATAGGACTGTATCAAAACGAGGTACCATGCTGACTGGTCACTCCCATATAATGTTCAGTGTTTGTCTGTGCGTGTCTCTGTACCGAGTCAAAGGTTAAAGATCAAATAAGGCTATGAGCAGAAGGCTCAAGGGCTATCCTATGGATGACCGATAGGGTCTCAAGGGCTATTGAATTGGAGTACCAATAGATCCTCAAGGGCTATCCTGTGAGGGTACTCATCAGTCCTCAAGAGCTATTATATGGGGTTACCCATAGGTCTTCAAGAGCTATAATATGGGGGTACCTATAGGTCCTGAAGAGAGTATAGCAAGAAGAGGATGATACTACAAGAGCTACCAGGGATATAAGACTACAAGGCCGAAGGCTAATGGGCTATAAAAATATGTGCGATGTAAGAGTATGAGGCCGTAGGGCTATCTATCCGTATACATAATATCGAGTGTCTGTATGTCCGTTACCGGATGAAAAGTTAAACGTCCGTCGTGATACGTTAGAGGAAAAACAAACAGCCGTGCAGTATGCACGAGCTCTCGATAGTTTACATATGTTTTTCAGACTTTTTATACTAATACAAAATTGTTCTATATATATGTGGGTACTTGACATTCTCTTTTCTATCATATTCTTCTTTAAATTTAGTGTTTGATCAAAATATCGATTCGTTTTCTTTTTTCCTATATATATTCTAACAAAGAAGAAGATCATTCTGGATCTTTTTTGTTGTATAAATTCTACTTTTACTAAATAAACTATTCATTTTGTTTAGTTTAAAAAGAAAGTATATCCTATATAACGATCAGTTCAGTGTAAAAATCAATATTCAAAAATGTATTGTTGCAAGCATCTGAATTTTGATAAAGACTTTGAAACATTTATAGTCTTATTGCTAAGAAAGAAATCAGACATCTATTATCCTCGTTTTCAATTGAAATAATTTAATGAAGATAGATCTTTGTTTCGGTAATATTGAAATTCAGTTATTTTTTTCTATCATCAACCTTTATGTATGATTTTATTAGTCTTTTGTATAATTGTACAATATTTCAATTAATTATAAGTTTGAAATTAATTCGTCTTTAGAAGATTTGAAGACATAACTATTTGAGTAAATGATTATTATTGTAAATCGGTAAAATCTTTCAAGAATTTGTATAGATGATTATTCTCGGCATCTTTTTTTGTTGGTTTTTGGATTATTTATACAAGAATATGAATCATATTTTGCATGTACAAATAACATTTCTATAGTTTATTCGTTATATGTCAATGAACTATCATCATGGTTTTTCTCGAATAGTTTTATTCTTTGAATTTTGAGTCTAAAGTCTTTTTTGCTCTATAGACGTGGAATTGAACAAGTTATTAAAGTATTGATTTTCATTTAGGCATTAACATCTGGTATATTCTTTGGTTCATTATTATCCTATGGTGTTGTGGCTTTGTATGGTGATGCTAAAGCACCAAATAATCTATATTTTCAATGATCTGTTCATGTTTTTTTTTGCATATAAAAACAAACAATATATTGTACTAATTTTTTTCTTCTTCTTTGATTTGTCTTGTACTATAAATACTAATAAAAAGAATGTCAAAAAATATAATCTTATCTTTATGTTTATTATTGCTTACTATGCATATCTTTTCGTTATGTATTTAACAAATTTTTATAATTCATCATACTCATTTTTATTTTCAAAGGAAACTTCCAATGCATTTAAAACATGAGTAAAAGAATTCTTTTTTTTCCCCTTGTCTTTGTGTACACGGCATTTTCCTTTTAATAAGTATTTACTTCTTTTTAGTTCTGTGTACATTTTTATTACGAAAATTTATTTAGACTTTACTTATAAATCATGTCGATTCGATCAAACTCACCTGTTGTCTCAACATCAAATAAACAAGAAAAAAAGAAGACAATATGTGGTGCTTGTGGAAATGAATTAGAACCTGATCATTCTGGTATACAATGTGTACAAGGACATCATTTTTGTACTGAATGTTCAGCTAATATTGTTCGTTTATTTTTTTCTGAACCACAAAATTATATACCTTTACGTTGTGTACAATGTCATATTGATTTAAATCCAAGTGTATTTGAACGACAATTAACATTAGAACAAATAGATTTTTATCATCAAAATATGCTTAGATTTGTTTGGTCAAAAGATTTTCTTGAGGAAGGTGAACGTTTAGATTATTGTCCATTTTGTACTTTTGCTGCTATACGTAATATAAATGCTTCACATATATTCTTTTGTCAACATCCACAATGTCTTAAAGTATCATGTTTAATATGTCGAAAAGCTTGTCCAAAATTTCAAAATGATTATGGTACTGATGATGAATTAGATGAAATGGAAAAACATTTTAAATGTGCTGAATTAGCTAATGATAAACATATAGTTGATCAATATTTAGAATCAGGACAAAAAATTGCTTGTCCAAAATGTGGTTTAGCTGGAATGAAAGATGATGCTTGTACACATATGACTTGTCCAACATGTTCACAATTATGGTGTTATTTTTGTGGTAAAAAAGTTGAAGATTGTGAAAGAGCACGAGATGGAACTAATGGGATATTTGATCATAATCATAATTGGAATTGTAATCCTAATCGATGTCCAATGTATTTTACTCAAATATGTGATATAGATGATCGTTGGCCTGATGATGAAGAACAATGTTTAGTTATGTTTCATCGTAATCGTTCATTATGTTTATTACGTGAAGTATATCAAAAACTTGGTAAAGAACGTATGGATGAACTTGATCATCATTTTAATATAATTAGTACATGTGGTTTTACATTAGAAGAAATTCTTAATGAAGATTTAACATTAATTAAATATCCAGATAATATTGAACGTAGTGATGATGAATAAATTTTTTATCATATTTTTTCCATGTAAAGTAATTTTATATTTTTTCTTTTTTTCTATGTGTAAATTTTGAAAAATATTTTATATCATAATAAATACTTTTAATTAGCAATAGTTAATTGTTTTCGAATATGATACGTATATATTGACTCATGAGATGACTATCTAAAAGATTTAACTATTATATTCACAATATCTATTGATATTTATTCGTCATGCCTTGTTTTACAACTATGAAAACAAATCAACTGATGATGTAGGATGTCAGCGAACTACAAACACGTTTTGGTACCTTCAAATTATCTCTGTTACTTATTTTATTTGTCGTCATTAGTTGGCAAAAAAAAATAGGACCTAAATGCAGAAGAGTTAAATCCGAAAATAATTTAGTTTGTTCAAATCAATCAGGGATCATATTGAAGAAGGAATCAAGTGCATGTATCTGTACAAAAAAAAACGACATATCTATTTACATATATTATTTCCTAGATTAATATTATAATAAATATATCTTGTTAGTTTTTTACAGTATATTTTGATTTTGTACTTTATTGAGAACATACTCAATGGAAAATAGATGATTACTAGATATTAGAAAGGAGTTATACATGTTTATTGAATTTGATTTTATTTTTTTTTTTTGTTTTTTCGAAAGAATAAGATTTAAAATAAACATAATTAATGTTCAAGAAAATATATCGATTAAAAAAACAAAAAGATTCAGTTATGTAAAAGAATTTTAGAATTATAATATTTATTATTTCAAATTATTTGATTTCGAATACAAACAATTTGAAATTTTCAAAATATTTGTTTTTTTTTTTTTGGGAACTTATTAAACATTTTATATATAGTGTGCTTCAACAGTTCTAAAATTAGCTTTATTCGAGAGCATGTCATCAGAGTACTACTATGATATAATTTCTCATAGTGTCATCACATATCTATGTCAGACAGACAGACAAACATTGACTTTCAAATCAAGGTAATGTTTCTGTTTTCCATCTATATTTTACAACATTGCACAAGAAAAAAAAAAAAGAAGAGTTTTTTCTATTTTGATTAATTGATATTGTGATTAAAATGAATATGATGAAAATATTATTCTATAAATAAATTGTTCTCAAAAGAGATTTTTACTTATTTTTGAATATAATTGATTGATTCTTTTTTCAGATCTTTTGTTTTTTGTTTTTTTTTTTTTATTATTACTTATCTGAATCATAATAGAAACAAAAAATGATTAATATTTATTACTGTTGTTGCTTCTTCTTCTTTCTCTTTTTTTTTTGTTCTTTTCTTCTATAAATGTATTTTATTCTTGCATATTCATCGGATATTTCTTTGTTGCTTTCTCTTCTATGGTACGAATGTTAGTCAATCTACCCTTCTTTTATGATTTGCTGGATCCTTTTGTGGTAATGTGATGACTTTTTTTTTTTCTTTCTTTGATGCGTTTGTGTTTTGGAGAGAAGAAAAAAGAAAAAAACCGAAGAAGAAAAAGAAATATGATATGTCTTGCTGTATAACAGTTCTTACATCAACAAGATAGAAGAAAGCTAGAGTAACTTTGTGTATTATACGATAAGAAACTCTTAAATAATTTTTTTCTATAAGAAGATAAATAATATTTATGGCACTTCAATTAACTTTATCATGTGATTTAAATAATTCACAAAGTGGTCCAACACTTATTCATTCAACTGGTGTACAACATTATAAAATTCCACCAGAAGTGGTATGTTAAAATAAAAAAAAGATCGAATAATTGATCTGTTTGTGTTTTCTTTTAATATATTAAATATTTTATAGACAATTTTTGAGTTTTTTTTTAATTTTCACATAGATTCGAACTTTACAAGAAAATATTTCAAATGATTTATTATCTGATCATGCAGAAGGTGTTCTTTGTCAAGATAGTCCACAACGTATTCTTGATGTTCTTCGACGAAATGGATTTACATTACAAAAACAAACAACTGATCATAATAAAGCTTTATGGACATTAGTACAAAGTGGTGGAAGTAGTCATGATCATGGTGGTCATCAACCTGTTCCTCCTCCTGCTCCTCATCCAACACCAACAGGTGATGAAGATGAAGATGCTGATAGAGAACCACAAGGTGAAGATGAAAATAATGAAAAAGAAGAAGAAGACGAAGAAGAAGAAGAAAAAGAAAAATAAACAAATAATAATATATTTATTAATGCTTTTCAATGAAATTTATATTAAAATATCTTTATTGAATTAATGTTGTTTTTTTCATTCTTCATATAATCAATTAAAATAGATGAATAAAATTGAAAACAATCATATACTAATTAATTATGCATCGACAAATATTGTCTTTATCAATTGAATAAAAACTAAATTAAACTTAAACAAATAATAATAAATATATGTTCCCTAAAACATTGATAGATTTAAAAGACTTTAGAAAAAATGATTTAATCATGGTTAGAAAATATCTTTTAAAATTCATTAGAAATCATATTTAAACGTTTTCTACTTAGCAAAATTGCGGAAGGAAGAAATCATTGTTTCTATTGTTCTCTCCTTCAAATCCACCAATGATTTAAAAGATTGATGTCTTTTCTGATATATTCAATGTGTTCTATTAATATTCGATAATTAATAATTTTCTAACAATCAAAAAATTTCTTTGTTTGTTACTAGATTAGTTTTTAATCTCTACGCCTCACTATAAAAATGAATTTTTTTGTATACATTTCAAGTCAAATTTACTTCATCGATGGAGTCCTATGATATCTGACAGAAGCATCGATGATATTAAAATATCTAATAATTATTAGATAATATATGTCAAGAGTATTTTTTTATGATAATGTGTGGCCATTTTTCACGAACGCAATTCAAACATTCATGTCCCTAAATGACTGTATACAACTCAACTAAACAGTTCGAATAAATCATAGTATTTTTATTTTATTTTTTTAGTACAAATTATATCAAAACACATTTATTCTATTAATTTATAGGTAATAGAAGTGTCAATCCGATAGAATTCAACTTTAGAATTCTTGATCTTTGAATTTATTGAACAAAAAAAAAATCTAAATATCATTTGATAAGTATTTTTTTTTTCATTTCATTTAAATTATCTCATGGAATTGATGATTTCGAAAACCATAAAACAAATATAATTGAAATAGAATCTGATAATAAAATGTAAATCATCTAAGATTTCACAACATATTATTTGTAAAGAAAATTTTTGTATATTAGATTATTGATAATATAGTTTTATAATTCTAAGAGATAGAAAAATATTTTATTAGTTTCAACATAATATCTACACAAAACAAATAACGTTCATACTAATGTTATTGTCCGTACTATGTATTGCTTCTTTTCAACTGATCACTCTACTAATTACATATACAAATTCAAACATCTAAACTCAATATCATACAGCGTACTTTTTTTTTTTTTATGAACGCTAGTCTAGTTAAATTCTGTATTTACGCAAAATTTTGATTCATTTTAAGTAAAAAATACGAAGATTAATACAAAAAAGAGAAATTCTAAGTTTTCTCGAAGAACTATAACTATAAATTCCTGACTATTTTTTTGAAAAGTTTCGATAATTCGAAGTGATAAGAAATTTTCTTTTTCAATGAAAATAATGCAAACTCTATTAATTAATTTCAATTTAAATAAATGATGGCTACTCAATATAAATAATTAATACATGTTTAATGACAATTGTGTTAAAGTAAAAGACATATATTTTTGTATCTTCAACATAATCATCAATTGAATTGATAGATGAACTTTAGCTAGTAGATTACTATATATAGTTGAAATACCATATGTTCGAAAGCATCATCAATATATGAAAGAGACATGTTGCCATCACATCTAGTATATGAAAATTAGTATTGATGAAAATAACATTTTGTATATATACTTATTGATAATTAAGTTGAACATAATTGTATTTCCATAAGAATGAATAGTAAATATTGTTGTCTATTTTCTTTTTTGTAATAGTTCAATTGTACAAATGTAATTATGTCACTTTGTTTATAAGTAATAACAATATGTTTATAATACGATGTTCTTTTTCTGATACGTTACAAACAACAAAAAAAAAATGACCTTAGTGGATGAATAAGAATGAAAAAAAAAGGCACAGATAGAAACATAAAATATATAATCAAGTAATATAGATAAATTTGAATGTATGCAAAATAAAGGATAAGATTATGCATACAAATACGACATTTTATGGTAACGATTATATGTTTTTTTTTTTCTTGCTCTTTATATGATATATAACGGCATATGTTATTTCTTTTGTATTATCCACTATTTTCATTGATAAAAAAAAAAAAAATTCATGTATATATCTTAAATAATGTACTATTGTAAAACTAAATGATGTATTTATTAGTAAAAAAAAAAATTTTAAATTGAATTCAATATTAATCTGAATGAATGAAAAATTTTCATATTTTTTTGGTTTTATTTCATGAATAATATTCATAATAATAATTTATATATTTTTAATTTTCTTTCATGGTTTTTCTTTTTCAAATATAAGGACAAAAATATTTATATTTATTTTAGTAGAATAATAACTAATGCGTAAAATCAACAGATCTTTTTTCTGTATTGCTATATTATTCTATTTCTATCTGATTTTCTTTTACGTACACTGTCACGTTAACAGAGAGATGTGCAAAAGACAAGAACTGAAAGATATGAATGAGCTAAACTTAGGCTATAATCGACATCGATATATGAAGAGAAAAAAAACCGCCTACACCCTCTCTTCTCTGTACATATTGGTATCCTCAAAGAAAAGATATATATATATATATAGTTTTTTTTTTTCTTCTTTGCTAGCTTATCTCACTATTCTGTACTTGTAATACAAAAATGTTCTATGTATAATAAAAGAGAAGAAAAAGTTCCTTCTTTCTCTCTTAGATGACTGGTTGATTCTTCTGTTTTTGTGATTTTTGTATTGCTAGTGTCTACTTATCATCTAGTTTTTTTTTTTTTTTGTTGTCCTCATATTCATATCATTTATCGAACGACATAAATTTTTATTAAATGTTTCAAATATAATTTAAATTTAATTTTGAATGCCATTAACTATTATACCAATGAGTGATAATTCTATTATAATACCTGATATAAAACATCAACAATCCGATGATGATGATGATGATGATAATGGTAATGATAAAAATCTAATAAAATCAACTGAAAATGGTCATAAATTACTAAATACATCATTATCAAGAAATACAAAATTACTTTCACGTTCTCCATCACCATCACCTCGTTCAATATCATCAGGTCCACCAGATCGTTCATTAAATCAAAAATTTCATGTAGCTGCTTTAACAGGAAATTTAAATACTTTACAAGAACTTGTTAGTAAAGCACGTATACCAATTGATTGTCGTGATAAAGAAAATTCAACAGCATTATTACTTTCATGTGCACGTGGACATTATTTATGTGTTGATTATCTTTTAAATAATGGTGCCGATCCAAATGCTCGACGTATAACAGGTGCAACACCACTTTATTTTGCTTCATTATATCATCATACACGTATTGTTGAACTTCTATTAAATAAATATAAAGCTATTGTTGATTTATCAACATTTGATGGTTCAACACCATTACATGTGGCATGTGAACGTGGTTTTACTGATATTGTTCAATTATTAATTAATTCACAAGCAAATATAAATGCAAAAATGAATGATGGTACAACAGCTATAATGCTTGCATGTCAAAATGGACATTTATCTGTTGTACAAATGCTTATAGCAACTGAACAATGTAATATAAATATACAACGTTTAGATGGTATAACACCATTATTTCTTATTATTCAAAATGGACATGAAACAATATTTGATTATATGATTGATAATATTGATAATATTAATAATATTAAAGAAACAATTGATTTAGCACGTGAAGATGGTGCAACACCATTATTTAAAGCATGTCAAAAAGGATATGAATCATTAGTTAAAAAATTGCTCAAATATAAACCAAAACTTGAATTACTTAAAAATGGAGAATCAGTATGTGTGAACAAAAAAACAAAAATTTATTTATTTTATTTTATTTTTTTTGTGATTTTAGTGTTTACATGCTGCAACTATGTTTAATCATGCATCAATTGTTCAAATGTTAATTGATAATGGTGCTAATCCATTATTAAATAATTGGGAAGGTATGACAGCTGTTGATTTAGCTAAAGAAGCTCAATTAAAAGATATAATGGATATATTAATGAAAGCATTAGCACCAAAATTAAGTGAACATGCAAGACAATATTTATTACATAAAAGTACAAGACGAACTGATGCTGATTTTGATTTAGATTTAGTTGAACATGAAGAACGTGATGAATGGAAATTATATAAAAGTTTAAAATCAGCTGCTGAACTTGAACGTTTAGAAGAAGAAATTGAACAAACACCAGTTCTTCCTGATATATCAACAACAAAAGGAAAACAAACTGGTAGTAATCGACAAAAATCAATGAGACCACATCGATATCATACAACATCACAAAAATGATTTAAAAAACAAAAAATATTTAACGTTAATATCAATTAAACATTTTGTTTTAGAATAGAATTTCATTGCAAATTAACCAAGTAGTTTAATGCATTACTTCAATGAAGACTATCAATTAAAGAAATGAAATAATTATTCCATGTTCTTTGGAATCCTATTACTTTTTTTAACTAGAAAAAAAAATAACAACAAAGTAAATACAATGACGCTCAAAATTTATTATATATTCAACAGATAATTTTATTATTTACTTTTTATTAAGTATAGAAGTAACGGAGAATTTGTTTTTTTTGGACTAATCGATTTCATCTGAAATTATCTATTAATAACATAGTTCATAAGAATCTATTCTTTACTCTCGACTGATCGTTCGTATTAAGTGTCTGAATATACCCTAGTTGTTTCCATTTAATGATAAGATATATAACTCGGATTTATAGAAAAATCTAAAACAATAATAAATAGTTGAAGTTATTGGTCAATGACGGAGCTAGAATACTACTACTTTATTTGTCACCGCTTAGTTTTGATCACATAACGTACTCAGCGAGAACATCATCTGCCACTGTTTCAGCATAACTAAAGATTCGATAGGGTTTCGGGCTCTGTTGTTACTACTACTAATTTAATGTGACCATGTATACAATTCTTTTATTATTAGATTTACGTTAATTTCTATATAAAGTCAAAGGATATCATTTTTCATTTTGTTTTATCTAGCGAAAATGAAGTGATAATTGATGACAATAAATTATATTTTACTAAAAAAAAAAACCGTCGACTCTCTATTAAAATAAAATCATCTATTGAATATATGATTAATTTTGCGCGTATTGTATATGATTTAGAAACAAAAAAAGAAAAATATTTTATTCGCTTATTTATTGTATCAATAGCCTTGGAGTGATAATAAGATATTATTATTTAATATTAAAAAAAAAAAAGAAAAATTCTATTACATTTTATTATTTGATAAAATGCATGACATGTAACGAAATATAAATTATAACTATATATTTGAATTTATGAGAAAATATTTCTACTTGAATTTTGATCAATTCGAAAAAAAAAATTCTTCTAAATGTTGAATCTAATATTTAAGCTAATACATTAAAACTACATTCTCTTGTGAATTTTATTTATAGATAGAGTTTTATCGATTTTACAACAATACAATGCAATAGCACATGTATATTAGAAATTTAAATAAATGATACTGAGAATCGACAAAGTATAGTTTAGTCAATGTTGTTCCAAAAAAAGAAATGGCAAAAACACACATTTTAATTGATGAACAAATTTGATTGAATATAAGTTACTGTTGATGTGTTTTTCGAAATAATCTGAATTCATTATCTTCTATGTGTGTTCATGATAAGGTAGACAATGTATTGCCACCGACTTTGTTCTATTCAACACATATACGATTATATGAAATTAGTAACTATACTATTCTTTAGACAAATCTTGTTTTCGATTTTGAAGAAAAGCATTTGCAGTTAATTTGTTGTGAATCGAAGATTCAAATTGTACTGTTTTTTAAGAATATGGACGCACGAATTTGTAGAAAGTTGCTACACTATATAGCTAACATGATAACGGCTATTCGCTATATGTAGATAATTCATTAGATTTTTATTGCATTTTTTATTATTGATTGTGATCAAAATTGGAAAGTAGTTTTTATAGAATATGCTGGGTTGACAAATTTCAATCTCTAATACACATCATTTTGACTACTTGTCAACTTGTGATTCATTCCGAGTAACGTATTCGGATATGTACGGCAGCATTACAATGCTAATAGCTGGCAGTGATCTGAAATGAGTCGATTTTTTTTATAATGATGTCATTAAACATTTTCTTGGACAATGACATCGAAAGATTCTGTTGAATATAGTCGTTTAGTTCAATATATAATCTCTATGATCAACGAAATCTGTACTGTTACAGTTGGCAATAAATATCAAAGTATATGCTTCTTGAAAAGACTTTTGTCACCGAGAAGAGCTACAATTTTCATTCATTCTATCTCAATTATATATGGAATACTGATAAATCGTAAGATAAGATTCGAAAAATTTTTAAAATCTTTCATTTTGAGGAAAAGAAAGAGAAAGTAGTGCAAATTTCAAGACTAAATTGTTTGAAATTAAAGTTATATTATGTTTATGTTTTCTTATTTGAATGAATGTGAGTATCAAGTTGGCGTCGTTGTACGTCAGAGTGCGAATATTTTGAGCAGTGATCAGGATCACTTGTGTTATAGCACGCAGAACCGAAATGGCACGGTGTTCGCGAACGATCTTGATCAGAAGACGCAGACTTTTGTCTATGTTCGGATGGATGAGAGTAGCGAGAACAATGTCGAGAATCAGTTTGATCACGACATTTTGATCCGTATTGACAAGGTATTTGTTCATTATGATTTTCATGACGATTATGTTGCTGTTCACAATAATTTTCAGATGATAATGATGACGCTTGAGCAATCTTTCCTTTTTAATTGAAAAATAAAGCAAAAAAAGAAAATTAGTTTTGATTTTGCTTTTGATATGAAAGAAAACAACTCACGTGGTTTTTCGGCTGCTGCAATTCTTTCGATGTTTTCACCGTGCGAATATTTCATTCGATGCTCTCCTGTTTGATTACGACAAGCTTTTTGATCACGACATGGAACAAGAAAATCAGGAAGACCAGTGTGTCGATATGCTGCTCGATGAACAGGGTCATCAAGACGCTTACACGATTTATCATGTACGCATGGCATCACTCGATGGGATTCGTGTGTTAAATGTGGTTCTTTGTCTTGATTCCGACAAAGTTCAGCAAATCGACAGGGATGAGAATATCGCTGACAGTGATCGTTTGATGTTTGTTCAAGACAATTAATTGAATTAGGACATGGTCGTAGTTTTTCTTTATCAACAGCAAATAGACTACCGGCGAATTGCTTAGTTTTCGAAAAAATCGGTTGTGATTTGTCATCTGTTGATTTTGCAGCTGCTGCCGATTGACAACGAGCAGAACTAGGACGATTTTGTTGACTAGGAGAGCTGCAGTTTGGTTTAAAATTTCTATCAAATAAAGGATGCAAATCAGGCACTTGATGAAAGCAAACCATCATATTTCGAATAGGTACTTGATGTGAACCAGCACTAACATGAATATAATTTAAATCACTCAAAACAAGCGTAGATTTTGTGAATTTATAGGATATTGTTTCATAATTATAAATACTATTTGGTCCAGCATGTGAAAGTGTTACTTGACCAGTGCTTTTCTCAAGTTTTAAACAATAATTAAGAAAATCATCTACATTACAATTACGATGAAATTTATTTGAATGTGCTACAAACAAACGTTTATCCATAATAGATTTATGTTGAAATGGATCACCATAATTCAAATACGAAATTGATTCTTGATAATCACTTGATGTGGTTGATGGTATGTCAGCAACATAACACATGAGACATGGAACATATTGTCGACTTTGAACAGAACCGATTCGTTCATTCGATAATGTGATCATCACATCACCATACATCGCTTGAAAATAAATGTAGATTTCATCGGAAATTGAATCTTGCTTTTTATTTCGAAGATATTGGCCATAGATTTGCGATATTGTGAATGGTAATGCGACATACTCAATGAAACAACTCGGTGGTAAAGTGATACAAGTACCACGTAATTCTGATGCATAGCCAATGTTTTGAACAAACTTTTCATTCAATTTATCCATAACATAATGCTGATATTCAGTACGATTCTTTTCTAGTACACGTGATTCTCTACTAGGTGTAGAATTGAGATTAATTTCATGATTTGTTATATAGCATGAACCATGAAAAATTGATTTTGCTGATTTTTGAGCTGCTGGTGAAAGAGATGTAAAGAGATTTTTTGGTATATAAATTTCTTCGATGTAATCCAAAGGAATTAAATCAGGCAAATGACCTTCGAACAATGAATCTGAGTCCACACCTTTCAAATAGTTTATGATTGATTTCAAATCAACATCTATTGTTTTCTTATGTTGACCTGCTGCAGCTATGAGTTCAGCTGCTGCTGAACTCTCATATCCAAGTATTGAACAATGTAATTTCGATTCCTGAAATTGCTTGATTCGCTCATTGGATGTACGCGAGTCTGTGACCCATGGTCGACGATTAAATGTAGTTCCATTTAAAAATGAAGCCTCTGATTGAATGGAAAAATTTGCATCCGGATGAAGCATTACTTGTCGTTTGAACACAAGTACAATATCTCCATAATCACGACGAAGTTGTGGACCAAGAATAGTATAAATATATTTGTCTTCATCACATATTTCGTCAGAGGTCTTTCGAATACTATTAGAATTGATCTCAAGATTCAATGTTGCTTCAGTAATTTCCGTGGTATATCGACGAATGATATCGATATCCGTTGGATTTAGTTTATCTCGCAGAAATTTCTCTTCTTTACGGATAGTATTGTTAAAGTCTTCATCAAGTATTGGCATTGCTGATAGTTGAGAATAATTAGTTCTTGTATTCGTCACTGTTGGCTTAGTTTGAGGAGTTCGTTTACTATATACATTAGAGACAATAGCTTTAATGTAATCTTTTATATGATCTTCAAGTGATTGGTTTTTATATTGTGTAATTATTGACTCAATTTTTTTATTTCGTTGAATATTTTCAATTAAGAATTTTGGCATTTGTAACTCGTCAATACGTTTATGAGACATGACATGACCATGGATGAGTATTAACTCGAAAATCTCTTTTGAACATTGATAAACTGGTAGTAATCCTCTGATGTATTTTGAAATTGAATTTGAAATTGACAGTGGAGCTTTTGACGGCAAATTTTGAGCATAATCGAGAATGGTATCAAACATTATTCGTTGATTTTGAACAAAATTTATATGTTTATTAAGTCCACCATATTGAATAATACTACTACGATCGTAATTTCCAGAGTGTCGATATCGTTTAATATGTTCGGAC